GGGGGGGGGGGGGGGGGGGGTTTCAAAACAAAAGCTGCACTTACTGAATTCCACTACAGGTAGTGCAAACAAATGTCCAGAAATTTGTGCACACATATTGAGGACCCTGATCAGCAGAAAAAAGGTAGTGCCATGTTATAAAGCATTCGCAATTTTCCAGGTCAAACAAGACTGGTAGCTTTGCTACACTAATTTCACTGAATGAGAATACTCCAATCATTCAGTATTATGAAGCAATGGCAAACAAATAACTCCTACAAATTACAAGACTGAAAAAATATTTGCAAAGAGTTTGCAGAATGGCTTCTTCACCATTTTTTACTCCATCCAAAAAGAAACGCGAAGTCTTAATGGGATATAAAAATCGTGTTGCAGAACTTCAAAATTGCTAATAGTATCTAAGTCATCACCACAAATCCATATTATAAAATTTCCCAGCCCTGCTCATGGCATCATGGGCTCTTATTCTTAAGAATTCCGGACTTATATGCTGCAGTTGCAATTTAAAGTAGCACCCAAACTCACAAGTATAGAGTTTGAAAGAGTTCACTTAAACAAAAACCACACGTCCCATACTTCTAAATATACAGGTAAATATATAAAAATGGAAAAGGCCAAGAAATCTTTATCGTTTCAAGAAATCTTATGTAATTAAACCTAAGAACTCTACATTTCTCTAATCAGATTTATTATTACAGCACAATTAACCAGCCATTGTAACTTACTGTAAAAGTGCACAAAATCTTCACAGAATATTTTTATTGCAAAATTGTAAATATCAAATGTTTTAGATCATGAGATCATAGAGATTCATGCCCAATTGAGCACTTTAATTGAACCCATGAAATCGCATTAACTTTGAATAATCAAATGTATCCACTTCCTCCACCCCCACACCCCGGTGGTGAGGAGCATCAACATTTTTTTTGTTTCCTTTTTTTTTTGANAAATGTATCCACTTCCTCCACCCCCACACCCCGGTGGTGAGGAGCATCAACATTATTTTTGTTTCCTTTTTTTTTTTGGAGAGTGCTGACTATCAGAAATCTAAGACACAACACAATCTGCAGCCCACTGACCGGCCTGAAAGTCCAATAGTCCTGGCCCTGATCCATTAGCAGAGGTCTATGAACAACCTGTTACCTGATAACCTAAGTAGGTAGGGTCATTTACATTCTTTTTTGGCTGATAGACTAGTCAAGCCCACGAAACCCCAGGTCGGCCAACAATATGCCTAGAATTTGAAAAAATAAAAAAACTAATATTACTTGGGTAACTTTTAAAGGCCCATTATGCCCTGCCTAGCCTGACCTGATGCTGACCTGGACAATCATTGCACCAAAAACTCCTGCATGAGGTGGGTCATACAACAATGCAAGCCGTAAGATTGTGCTAATGTGATCCACCCAACATATATAGCAAAGGCCAAGATGAAGACTACTCTACTCCATTTACCATACTCCATGTAGATTTTGTTTTATTTTCAAATAACCTCCACTAAAAAACATACAGAATGACTGCTTCGGGAGACATGAGAGTGGCATTCAGAAAGGAGTTTTACAAAACATTTTGCCTTACCTCCCTCCCCTAAAAAAGCACAAAAATAGAAATAAAAAAGGGCATGCCCACGATCTCTCCTTCCAAGTCATACCCTAATGGCCTCCATAATCTCGTTAGATAATTTCAAAAAGCACCATCAGATTGATATCATTATGGATTATCAGTACAAATGAATAATAAAAAAGGAACATACAGTAACAAATTCAACATTCAATAAGGATAAGTAGAAACTACTTCCAACTATCACCTAGAGAAGACATACTACCAAATTCAAAATAAGAACAAACAATAACACNCACTTACTGAATTCCACTACAGGTAGTGCAAACAAATGTCCAGAAATTTGTGCACACATATTGAGGACCCTGATCAGCAGAAAAAAGGTAGTGCCATGTTATAAAGCATTCGCAATTTTCCAGGTCAAACAAGACTGGTAGCTTTGCTACACTAATTTCACTGAATGAGAATACTCCAATCATTCAGTATTATGAAGCAATGGCAAACAAATAACTCCTACAAATTACAAGACTGAAAAAATATTTGCAAAGAGTTTGCAGAATGGCTTCTTCACCATTTTTTACTCCATCCAAAAAGAAACGCGAAGTCTTAATGGGATATAAAAATCGTGTTGCAGAACTTCAAAATTGCTAATAGTATCTAAGTCATCACCACAAATCCATATTATAAAATTTCCCAGCCCTGCTCATGGCATCATGGGCTCTTATTCTTAAGAATTCCGGACTTATATGCTGCAGTTGCAATTTAAAGTAGCACCCAAACTCACAAGTATAGAGTTTGAAAGAGTTCACTTAAACAAAAACCACACATCCCATACTTCTAAATATACAGGTAAATATATAAAAATGGAAAAGGCCAAGAAATCTTTATCGTTTCAAGAAATCTTATGTAATTAAACCTAAGAACTCTACATTTCTCTAATCAGATTTATTATTACAGCACAATTAACCAGCCATTGTAACTTACTGTAAAAGTGCACAAAATCTTCACAGAATATTTTTATTGCAAAATTGTAAATATCAAATGTTTTAGATCATGAGATCATAGAGATTCATGCCCAATTGAGCACTTTAATTGAACCCATGAAATCGCATTAACTTTGAATAATCAAATGTATCCACTTCCTCCACCCCCACACCCCGGTGGTGAGGAGCATCAACATTTTTTTTGTTTCCTTTTTTTTTTGGAGAGTGCTGACTATCAGAAATCTAAGACACAACACAATCTGCAGCCCACTGACCGGCCTGAAAGTCCAATAGTCCTGGCCCTGATCCATTAGCAGAGGTCTATGAACAACCTGTTACCTGATAACCTAAGTAGGTAGGGTCATTTACATTCTTTTTTGGCTGATAGACTAGTCAAGCCCACGAAACCCCAGGTCGGCCAACAATATGCCTAGAATTTGAAAAAATAAAAAAACTAATATTACTTGGGTAACTTTTAAAGGCCCATTATGCCCTGCCTAGCCTGACCTGATGCTGACCTGGACAATCATTGCACCAAAAACTCCTGCATGAGGTGGGTCATACAACAATGCAAGCCGTAAGATTGTGCTAATGTGATCCACCCAACATATATAGCAAAGGCCAAGATGAAGACTACTCTACTCCATTTACCATACTCCATGTAGATTTTGTTTTATTTTCAAATAACCTCCACTAAAAAACATACAGAATGACTGCTTCGGGAGACATGAGAGTGGCATTCAGAAAGGAGTTTTACAAAACATTTTGCCTTACCTCCCTCCCCTAAAAAAGCACAAAAATAGAAATAAAAAAGGGCATGCCCACGATCTCTCCTTCCAAGTCATACCCTAATGGCCTCCATAATCTCGTTAGATAATTTCAAAAAGCACCATCAGATTGATATCATTATGGATTATCAGTACAAATGAATAATAAAAAAGGAACATACAGTAACAAATTCAACATTCAATAAGGATAAGTAGAAACTACTTCCAACTATCACCTAGAGAAGACATACTACCAAATTCAAAATAAGAACAAACAATAACACCCACCAATTAAGTCTAAAAATACAATAAAGAAATAACTTACCAAACTGTTACAGTTAATACACCTCCGATTCTCAGGAAGTTTGAGAAGACTCCGTATAGTTCTCTCATTTTTCTCGTCTTCCTTCCGTGCCATTCAGAATTCCCAATCAAAACCCTATAGTCCACAAAATACATCAATTCATGTACCAAATTCAACATCAAAAGCTTAATTTTTTCAGAACAACAATCGAAATTCGAACTCGTAGAGCATCAGATCTGAATAATCGGAGTCATCAAAGTGGACTAATACAAGTACAATTCATAAACCCAGATATGTACTTGAATACGTGCATATATTCGTCTATTCGAAGCCTAAAAACTGACCTGATCGTATTTGTGGAGTTGAATTTATGCTGAGGAATGTAAGAATTCCCACAGATCTTTGCGTGACGTTTTGGGAAGCGACGGCTTCGTAGACCTAAAGTTGAACAGAAAATTAGAGATAGAGCAAATTTAGTATCAAAAACCAAAATTTATGGGAAAATCAATCAAAATTCGAACTTGTACAGCATCAGATCTGAAGAATCGAAGTCATCAAAAGTTGACTAGTAGAATTCCAATTCACCTACATATACATACTTGTATACATACAGAAATTGCAACTTGCAAGCCTAGAAACTTACCTGATCGTCGTCGCTAATTTCAACCGGCACAGAAGAATGTGAGAATTTCCACAGATCTTTGTGCGGAGGTTTTGGAAACGACGGCTTTGTACAGCAGAGAGAGAATGGGGTGGGTATATTTTAGGGTGTCCGCAGACACGGGGGACTAAAGGGAAGGACTCGACGTCCGCTGGAAATGTGCTGTTACTGTGGTATTGACGGTCTTGGTATGCTGGATTGGACTTTAAAAATGTGGAACAAGAGTGTGGGTTGCTGGGGGTATATTTGACCCTAATCAAATAAAATACTATTACTATTTTGATAATATCTTCACTTTTTTTTTTTTTTTTTAGATCAAGCACTATTACAGCGAGATCGAGAACCGATGAGATTCGAATTCATGATTTTAAAATTTAATACCAGGCTAGTGATTAAGACTTAGGATTGAAAATTGAACTAAACTACTCGCGTTCGCTCATTTTAAGTTCATTCGGATTCAGTTCATTTTTTAAACGAATTGAATTTAAACAATTTTTTAGGTTCATTTAAAAAAATAAACCTAAAAAACTCAACTCAAACTCACAAAATTCAACTTGTTTATATGTAAAATATTCAAGTTATTCGAGTTCGATTATACTCCGCTTCAGAAGGAGCTAAATTTAAACAATTTTTTAAGTTCGTTTAGAAAAATAAACTCGACATGCTCAAATTCGATCTCACAAAACTCGACTCGATTGTCAACCCTACCAATAATAAGCAGTGCAATCACTAACCTCGATTACATCCTAAAATTAGGTCCTATAATATTGCAGAAACAGAATTTCAAGTTTGTGTGTGTGTGTGTTTGTTTTACTATTATTTGTTTACTTTTCTCAAGCTATATGAGCATAGAATTTTCAATAAACTATGTGGTGATACTTGTGTTGAAGTGGAAAATTCTTCCTTCCTTTTACTTATCGAAAAACACTCATAAAAAATACAAAAAGATAGCAAAAAACAATTTTAGCAAATTTTTTTTTTTTTTTGCCACAAATTCACCCCTTCGGTTAGAAACTGCCATTATTCTTATGGAGAAGCAAACTTAAATGCATTTTAATAAGATTTTGACATGGAAAGTGTTCTAATAGTTATGAGAACTAAGAAGTGTCTATAATTTAATGTGCCTCATTGAATACGAAAGTTTTTTTTTTTTTTTTTTGGAAAAATCCTTAAGAAGTCCTGTTTTTTCTTCAAAATAACCATTTAGTCCTATTAAGGCTAATAATTTAGCCAATTTTTGTTAGCTCGAGCTCGAGCCGAGCTTGTCAAACTCATTTTTTTAAACGAATATAAAAAATTGTTCAAACTCAAGTCGTTTAAAAAACGAGCTAAACTTTAGCAGTTCAACTATTTTACCTATAAACAATCGAAGTTTTGCAAACTCAAGTCTAGTTTTTTAGACTCGTTTTTTAAACGAGTCTAAAAAATTATTCAAGTTCGACTTGTGTCAAATCCTATTCGAGCCGAGTCTGAGTAACTCAGCTCAATTATCAACCCTAAGTTCTATCATAGTTACCATAAAGACAATTAAGTCTTACTTTTGATAATTTATTCTCAATAAGTCATATACTACATCAATAGTATTTTTTTTTTCCAATTTTATTCTTCCCATCAACACATCAATTACATGTTTATAAATAATATTTGTTATTAGGATCCAAAGTAAATTATTTTTTTTCTAATTAGTGCATCACAGGTAATTAACAATAAAGACTTATATAAATGATAAATCATAAAACTCTAATTTTTCTTACATTTAACTTTTTTAAGTATATAAAATTTGATTCACTTGACTATCAAATCTCAACCATAAAGACATACAATTACACAAAATAACAATATAAAAACTAACCTATGAATACATTCATTGTGTAAATTTTATTTAATTATATATTTTTTTACTTCTCCGTCCATGTTTTGAATTATAAAAAAAAAATATTTATGTAATGATTTTTATACTATAAGATTCACTCACATATGAACTCATACATTTCAATAAAGTAGATGCTTTGATAATTAAATGTATACTTATTGGATTTTAATTTAAGAAAAAATATATATATTTCAATAATATAATTGAATAACATTATAAACAATAATTTAATTTATATTTTTCATAAAAAAAAAAAAATTGGAACGAAACAAACTATTAATAGAGTTTAGGACTTTTTGAAAATTAATTATGAAAAAATAAGACTACTTGTCCTTAGGTAAATATTACATAATTTGATGGTTCTTTGGAAGGAAAAATATGATTAATTGGTATTTTTCCACTTTTTTTTTTTTTGCGTATTACCCTGCTCGCATACCAAATTAATACTGGACTTTGTATAAAGTCTAGTATTAAATCTATGGGCGGTGGCCTCAACGAAATATACTTAATGCGATATTCGAACACCTGACCTATCTTTTATTAAAGGTTTATATTATCATGTGACTAAATTACCATTACGAGAGTGAAGAAATAAATTGGGGATGAAGGTGAAATTTTTATTTTTTATTTATTTTTTTGGAATGTTCAAAAGTGTAATAAAAATTGCTTAGAACATCAAATTATGTAGATTCGTGCCCAATCGAGCACTTTAATTGGGCCCATGAAATCACTGTGTTTTTTAAATAGTCAGATGCATCAACTTTTTTCCCCTGAAGATACGAGCATCAACTCTCTCTCCCTCTCTCTCTCTCTCTCTCCCTCTCCCTCTCTCTCTTAGGGTTTGAGTGTTAACAGTCTAACGGCTTGACGAACGACCTACAATCCACCCGTTGACCCGAAGCCCGGTGGTTCTAACATCCTGATCCATCGTGCGGAAGTTTGTGAAAAATTAGAGGTTAATTGCAAATTATACTTCGAAAGATTGTTTGAATTTCAATTTATACTCTCAAATATTAAAAATCTCAATTTACACTTTCAAAAATAGAAATTTGTATCAATGTGCACCTCCAAAGATAAAAAATCTCAATGTATATCTTAAAAGATAAAAATTTATATCAATGTACACCTAAAACTAACCGTCGTTTTGTTTGCTGTCTAAAACTAAATTGTTAAATTATACTTAGATCCCCTCATGCTTGTCATTTCATCATTTGAATTCCTTCACATTTAAAATATTACTCTTACATCTCATAATGTTTGTGCACGTGTAACATGTAACCCCTATACTCTAAAGTTCAAAATCAATCTTATCACTTGAATGTCTAATAGAATAAAGGGTTGCACATTGAGTAATATATCACATTGGATATTAAAAATATTATATAAATATCTACATTCTGAACATTTAGATGGTAAACTTGATTTTGGACCCACAAAATAAAGGGTAATACAAAATTATATTTTTTTATTAAGATAAAATCATACTTTTTTAATGATTATATTAACAAATATCAACCAAAAAGGGTTACGTGTTACACGTGCACAAACGTCTTGAGATGTAGAAGTAATATTCTAAATGTGAAGGGGTTCAAATGATTAAATGAAAAGTATGAGGGAATCTAGGTATAATTTATCAATTTAGTTTTAAGTACACATTGATACAAATTTTTATATTTAAGGGTGCAAATTGAGATTTTTTATCTTTGGAGGTGCACATTGATACAAATTTCTATTTTTGAGGGTATAAATTAAGATTTTTTATCTTTAGAGGTACAAATTGATATTGGAATGATCTTTTGGGGTGTAACTTATAATTAACCCAAAAATTAGATAATTTGAAGGTAATTTTAATGTGGCCGAATTTTCCTCTTTTGCAATCAGTTTCGCTACAACACCCGCTGCTCTAGCCCCTAAGTTCCTGAAAATTTTGTAGAGTGGCCATAGTCTTTTTTATTTTTAGTAAGTTAATGATACATTCGCTCCATTAATTTACGACTACTTTGTGCAAAAATAAATTCACACATAGAATAATCATGTCGTACGAGCTGAACACGCATGAGAAATTATAGTAGCTTTGATACCGCGTGCAGATGAGCGATGACCTGCCCAAGCCACTTGCCATTTGCTGGTAGCTAGCCGTGAAGTTTGCCTGCTGACAGTAGGAAGCCCTGCCTTTTGCCGACTGGCAGAGGCAAGCATAGCCTTTCGCTAGCAGACACTTATTACATTACGCTTCACAAACATAGTGTGTGTTAAAAATGACATTGAGGATAAATAATGTCTCGGACAAAATAATGTCTAAGCCCACCTTATCTTATTTACTCTTTTATTTGGATACATACTCTTTTATTTGGATACATACTTTGAGCTCGATATTATCACCTAAAAATATTATCGGCTTGGATGAATAATATTTTTAAACCTACATGTAACCTATTAAATAAACTCATCTATTTGATGGGTTTAAATAATCCGGTTGAGGTATATTTTAACAAAAGACATTTTTACCTTTAAGAATATGTATGATATAATTAACTTAAGGGTTCTTTAATAATTTATTGTTTATACCATCATTCAATATTTCATTCAAATAAAGTATTAGATGGGATAAATGTAAGACCTACTACTTCTTAGAGCATTTTCAACCCTAACTTAAATTTAAACTCAAATTTAAATTTAAGTAAAAAAATTCAAAATACTTACTCCAACCTTTGACTCAAACTTATATCAAATTATAAGAGACTCATTTTTTTACTAAAATCTAAGGAGACTTAAATCCTTACTCAAATATTTAATTATAAGATTTCATCCTCCTTTTTCTTTATATTTTTATTCCCTTTAAGGGGAAATTTTTTTAATTTCAAGGGATAGTTCAAATAGTAATAGAGACGAGTTGTAAATTCAGACGTCATGAAATCAAATATTGATAAATCTTGGAACTAGATCACAAGGGATTTATCCCTCATGAACACTCTAGTTTCGGTGTAGGTGGTTCGTTTTGAATCGGACAAGAAAAAAAATTAATCAAGATACGCATAAATTGATTCAAATACCCTTAACTGTTAAAAAAAAAAAATTGAAATTTTGGGTCCGCCCTAAAACTAACCTAGCCCACAAAAAAGACCCCAGGACAATCCATGGACCATTAGCTGCCTAAATTAAGAAAAACCTTAATACTATAATTTTAACTTACATAACAAAAAACCTCAATACAACCCGTTTAGTCGCCCTTTTATCGGATAGTTTGTCCGACCCGTTATTGACCCGTTCAATTATTGAACCAATAACTCATGCATGAGGTGGGTCCTACAACAATGGAATCCCATAAGGGCTATGCTAATGTGATATACACCCTACATACCTAACCCAAAGGGCCCAGATGCAGACCACTCTCCTCCATTTATTTTGGAAACGTAAGTTATAATTAGCCAACACACTGACAGCTATCTATCATATTAAATACCAAGCATTATGATTGAAATCAAATTGAATTTTGTAAGAAATTGTGAATTTTGAGGTCTTCTTTGGAAGAAACCATTGATGGAAAATTTTCAGAACGTAACAAAATAACAACACGTCTCCTCGGCACTGATAAAACATCTCTGCTATTGTCCTAACACGTGTCATCGACATCCTTAACCCCCTCCCACCGAGGAATAATTTCCAGGGCCGAGGGACTCTGAGGTGGCATGGATGACACATATCCCTCGGCTCAGATTGATAATATCGGTCCTGATGTGTGTATGCTCCCTCGACGCCGAGGTGTATCTACTAGAATGTGGACTTTTTCACTCTTACAAGGGTTGGTGATTAACAGGTGACTAGTATAGGTCAGGCTAGACATCATAACAACGTTTTACTCAATGATGTCAGAAGACATAAGAATGCAGAAGATTCAATCAAGGAGAAATGGACATGTGGTATGCAGTGTCAGATCAAAGACAAAAGGACCAGAATGCCCCTGCTGACACATGACTTGAGCAAACAGGCATTTAATGTATCCCTTTCCTGATGAGACAGCATTTAAGGCATGAGGATCAAAAAGTGAAAGACATTAAATGCTCTCATGCCTGGGCATTTAATACTCCCTCGCCGAGGGAAAAGCATTGAATACTCGGCAGGCCGAGGGAAAAACACCAGTTGCTCGACGTCCCGAGCAGTTAAGGCTGAATGCATTCCCCACTAAAGGAAATGGGGGCACACTGCCCCATCTCTAATGATTGTCTACTAGTTATATTATCAGCAATTATGAGCTTTTAAAAGTATAAATTGTCCTCAAAAACATATTGCAAAAGTACGCAAGATTATCTCTGAAGAGTCATACAGTGTTTTCTTCTTCCCCACTCTCACAGCAACTGACTTGATTGTTGGAGGGGATACGCCGGAAAATATTTCGGCACCCTTCTAACCTGTTTTTCTGTATTCCAGGAATTCCTCGTAGCCTTCCAGGACTGCTCAGGCGACTCGGTAAACAATTCATCACCACTTCTTAAGCCACCTTTGACCCTCTCAACCTATTCCAGGTGATGAGATCGACCGCTCCCTCGACGGACTCGTGTTCACCACGAGAGAGATCTGTTCTCAGATACATTGTGCAAAAACTTGCACACACATGAATCATTGTGATTAAAATCATCGAAGGAGTGGTCTAACAAGGTATTAATTGAATTTTTTACTCTAAAATTGGAGGTTTGAATCTTAAAATCTACATTGGAGTTTGATAGTTGACCGTTATGTTAGTCTAACTAAGTTCATTTTTAACTGTAACGGACACAATCAAAGGTCTCATGATTCCACCACTGAAAACATATCGTGATTATCTTTGGATGCTCTCTTTTGTTGTCACCCTTTTTTTCAATAGCAAATAAATAAATAATCATTGTGATTAAATAACTTTATAAAACTAATAAAAAGAAAATAAGCAATGGCCTTTATGGTGAAGCCACCCCTTTTCATATTGTTCTAATGTTCTTGTTTTGGAATCTTGGAGGCTTGGAGCTAGTAATTGTTTTTTACATTGGGATGCACTAGTATTCCATGGGTTTTTTTTGAGATTCTTGAATTTGTAACTTTTACCCAACCTTTCCTTTTCATAATCCTTATAATCGATCATAATCAAGGATTAATATTGTATCTATCGAAAAAACAACGTCTCAATCTCATATAAGAGCGTTGCATACATAGTATAAAAGTCAATAAAAAATGGGAGATTGAGGGTGAAAAAATATTGTTGTATAAATGTGATAGGACGAAAATGTTATTTAATATACGTATCTTCGACATGGGCAAAGAACAAGAGAAGGGACATAGTAGTAATCTTAGTGTCTAAGTGAGTTTTCCTTCACTATGCTATTGTCATGTTTTGATACTTCCTTTCGTCGACTACAAAAGGCCATTGAGGACAGCTGACATGTTATTTAGTTTAAGTTAGGATTGTGATTAGTTAAACAACTCATTGTTAATAGGTAGTTCAAGTGATAACAAAAACAGGTTATAAATTCAGATGTTTTTAGTTCGAATTTTGATAGTTCTTTGAAGTTAGGATTTCTCACGAATACTTTAGTTCCGGCGTAGGGAAAAGATTAATCAAGTTATGCATAAACTGATCCAAATACACTTAACCTTTGAATTAAAAATAAAAAGAATTCATTGCCAATATATGATTCCGCGTATCTAATAGACACTGTAAAAGGAATGTTTGTGCAATTTAAACCTATGATACCCGAATTACTATCCGGTTCTTCCTTATTAAAAAAGAAATATGCTAACCGACAACAAAATTGGCTACCTTTACCAACTAAATCGTCTCAAATAGCCAGTCCCATGTAACCGAAGTGAGTGTCCAAGTGTAAGTTTCTTTCCTCTTTGGAAATTTTAAAACAAGAATGTGCTTGTAAGCTGCGGACCCAAAGATGCCTAATTCATAAATTGATACTGACTAGGGGTGTTCAAAATTCCGCCCTCCCAACCAGTTTCGCAATATTTCGATCCTATTTTATCTTATTCGATAATTCGACTTTCGTATTTTTTTGGCCGACTAACAATTTTTTTTTTTTTATATTTTGCAGATATTGACTTTATCCCATATGATTAGCCCGTTCGTTAGTCACCCAACGCTGGCCGTCACGGGGAATTATTGGAGGATGAGTTTTAAAAAAATTTCGACATAAGAAGGAGGAGGAGAATAATAATTTTTTTTTTTGGGGGGGGTTGTATTCAGAAATCAAAAAAGCATTTTATTTTTTAAACATTTAATTTATTTGGTCAATTCCATCGTTGAATTAGATGAAAATTGTAACTGTTCATCTTAGTCCACAAAAGATTTTATGTTTTAAGCATTCAGAGATATTGATTGTTAGCACACAACGTAGTTAATGGATAATTGATTCATGACTACGTAGTTTACATTATTGAAATGTCATGGTGTGCCCTGAGTTAATGCCTAAGCTTTCCATGCAAGGACTTATTTGTCTTATTATTTTTTTGATGTAACTTTCAATGGATTCTTTACATTTATAGGAAGGACCGCACCTTTAATGCATTTTAAAAGTGATTATTTTATAAAAGTTTATAAAGCGTATTGAAAATAAATTGAATCGAGGTGAGCATTAGATTGTTTGGATTCAGCCTATTGAGTTGTAAAGAGGACCCAAGATTGATTTGGGATTGTAAGCACTTTCAAATATTTCGTTCAATTTCAGTTCATTAATGTTTTTTTTTTCAAATATGACCCTAATTTACTTCCGCTCGTCTAATTAAAAAAAAGCCATACTTATACTTGTGTTCGAGCTTAAATACATGTTCACAAGCCTCAACAAAATTAAACTAATAATTGATTGGGCTCAATTCATTTATAAAACGAGCTTTACAATTGAGCTCAAGTACAATGCTTGGCTTATTCAAAGTATTAATGAGCAAGTCATTTTATTTTACAGTTTTATTATAGAATTAGTTATTGTCTATACCTGAAGGTATGAAGTAATAAAAAAATAGTCAACAATAAATATATTTATTTTCACACCCAAAATCAAATCATAAATATAGAGGGAAAAAAAAGAATATAAGTATTGATTGTAATAGAGGTGAGCGGTTGTAGTGGTGGTGGGAGACGGTAATAGTTGTGGTGGGTGGTGATAACCGTGGTGATGGTGGTAACCGTGAGTGACAACAGTGATGGTGGCAGCCATTGATGACAACGG